TTCTAGTAAACAAACCTGGAATCTATAATTTACAAAGGCATGGCTCCTTGAAAAATGTCATGTGTTTATCGTGTTAAGTAATTTTCAGAGAATAAAATGGAAATGTCTCTCAATGGAACATCCCCCTTTGTGTGATATGCTCACACGCATCACTTAGACAACTCAGAGATCTCTTACATTAAACCCAATCCACAGCTCATTCTAATGAAACACATAGGAGCTGGGAAGTGGGTGGACACCCCGAACTTGTGCATGTTTTCCCTGTGCTTCATAATTACTTACATCCTTGAAATTGTCACTTAAGCTTAACACGGGAAAGATCTTTGATTCCTGTGAATCTGATTTTAATCCAATCAATCTTTTGTTAATCAGGAAAGAAAACAAATATTGCTGTGTAAGTATATTCATCTCAAAATTTTTCAAAAAACCTACTCTGAAAAACAATATGGAGGTTCCTTGAAAAACAAAAATAGAAGTACCATACAATCCAGTAATTCTACTGCTGGGTATTTACCCAAAGAAAACACAAACACTAGTTCCAAAAGATATATGGACCCCTACGTTTACTACAGCATTATTTACAGTAGCCAAGATATGGAAGCAACCTAAATGTTCATCGACAAGATGAAGATAAAGGAGATGTGATATATATACCCAATGGAATATGACTCAGCCGTAAAAAAGAATGAAATCTTGTCATTTGCAACTGGATGGACATAGAGCGTATAATACCAAGTGAAATATACAGAGGAAGACAAATACCATATGATTTCACTTACATGTGGAATCTATAAAACAAGCCAACAACAATAGTAGAAACAGACTCATAAATATAGAGAACAAACTGGTGGTTGCCAGGGGGCAGGATGGTGGAGGGGATAGGCAACATAGGTAAAGTGCATTAAGAGATACAAACTTCCAGCTATAAAATTAATAATAATTCACAGGGATTAAAGTACAACATAGGGAATATAGTAAAAAATATTGCAACAATTTTGTATGGTGACAGATGGTAACTACTCTTTGCACTGAGCTTTTTGTAATACATATAATTGTTGAATCACTGTGTTGTACACCTGAAATGAATATATTATGTCAACTACAATTTAAAAACTTGAAAAATTAAAATAAAATAAAATAAAAGACTAAGAAAAAAAAGGTTTTCAAAGAAGATGTGCTCCCTACATGGAAGTAGTTTGATTTTTTTTAAGTTTTTTTTTATTTATTTGAGAGATCTCTACACCCAACATGGAGCTTGAACTCAAAACCCTGAGATCAAAAAAAACAACAACCCTGAGATCAAGAGTTGCATGCTCTACTGACTGAAACAGCCAGGTGCCCCAAATTGACTTTTTTTTTTTTAAAGATTTTATTTATTTATTTGACAGAGAGATAGCGAGAGAGGGAACACAAGCAGGGAGATTATGAGAGGGAGAAGCAGGCTTCCTGCTTAGCAGGGAGCCCGATGCGGGGCTCGATCCCAGGACCCTGGGATCATGACCTGAGCCAAAGGCAGACGCTTACCGGCTGAGCCACCAGGCGCCTCCCAAATTGACTTTTTCTAATTATGAAGTTACATAGAGTAATTTTATAACATTCATATGAAACATAAAATTATGAAAAATAAAATTAAAAATCACAAGTAATCCTTCCCAAAGATAAAGACCCTTAAAATTTGGGGTATATATTCTTCCAGATTATTTTTTTAAGTTTTAAACACATATATGTATATGTATAAATACATATAACAAAGACTAGCTCATACTATCCCATAATTTTCCTTTCTCAGTTAATATATCATTAACAACTTTTTATCTCATAAGTCCTCGATTATTATCACTGTTTAAAGCTGCATGGAATCCTAATGTGTTATGTATCATAAATTAGCAAATTCTCTATTGATGGACATTTAGATTCTCACACCCTCATTATGAGCAATGCTAAGAAGGAAATGTAGTATTTAGACATCTTTGTGAACTTGTCCATTTATTCCATGTGTATTAATTCTGGGTCAAAGGGTATCATAGTTTCATTTTGTTTAACTTTGTTTTAGACACTGAATATATATTACAAATTGCTCTCCAAAATATATTGCATTAATTTAAACTCACAGAGTACACAGTTGTCCCCATTTTGCCTCACCCTTACCAAGAGTAGCTAGAAAGTGTATTTTTTTTTTTTAAAGATTTTATTCATTTATTTGACAGAGAGATAGAGAGAGACTGAGTGCTAGTCTTCCAGATATTCTGTAAGAACTCAGTAAATGTATGCAGTAGCCAATAGTCTGGCCTAATCCATTTGCTGTGATGGCTGAGATTTCTGCTTTATTTTACTTTATTACTTGCTCACTGCCCAACTTTTTATCTCATCTGAAGTTGTATAAAGGATAGAGCTCCAGGCAAGTGACACAGGTACCTCTGTCCATCCACTCCACTGCACTGTCCCCAGACATGTCCCCATCCTTCAGGCATGAAGTTCTTGCCCCTGGCTTTTGCTGCTCTCCTATTCCTGGCTTCATTGACTTTAAGTAACCTGGAGTTCTCCGTATCGAGAAGAGAGTGATGGAGGGGAAGGGAGATGAAACAAAAGCATTAGATACATCTATTTTTAAAACAAAAGAAAAAATTTAAGTGGACATCTACCTACAGGAGTAGGAGGAAATAAAGCAGAGAAGACAGGTTTCTTTTTTAAAAAGCTAGACTTCTCTGAATATACCCTATTTGGAAGATTTAACTTCGGAATCACTTAAACATTTCACCTAATATAAAAAATCAACATCTTGGGGCGCCTGGGTGTCTCAGCCGGTTAAGCGTCTGCCTTTGGCTCAGGTCATGATCCTGGAGTGCCAGGATCGAGTCCCGCATCGGGCTCCCTGCTCAGTGGGGAGTCTGTGTCTCCCTCTGCCCCTCCCCCCTCTCATGCTCTCTCTGTGTCTCACTCTTTCTCTCTCAAATAAATAAATAAATTTTTTTTT